CCCCCCCCCCGCCCCGCCCTGGCGGAAGGGCGACGCGGCAGGCAGGGATGCCCATGCGCTGCTGGCGCATCGCTCCGTGGCCACCAGCCCCCCGCGATCCCGATTCCCCTGCACAATAGCGTGCGCGTATACATACAATATACACACACACACAGAGCCCCTTCTCGGTGTCTGACCCAGGCCCGTGACAGCATTCCGCGGCCCCGGCGGTCCCCATTGGCAGCTAGTTGTGGGGCAAGGAGGCAGGGGAGCTGTGGGCTACGATCCGAGAGAATGGCATTCACCAAGCTCGACAAACCACATGACCCACATACATCGACCCCACAACACTTATCCACGCAGCGCCGCCCCGCGGCCGATGTCCCCCCCCCTCCCTCGGCTCCCTCTTGCTTGGTGCTCGGGCCACTTTGGCGCCCGCGGGCCCGGGTCATTTCCTCGGGCCGGTGTGCATCGGGGAGGATCTGTCCCGACACGCCCGAGATTGCCCCGCCCGCCTCAAGGCCTTCCCGGGGCCTGGCTCGGTTCACTTTCGCCGCCCCCGCGCTTGGCCGACTCTCCCCCTCCCCCGGAGTCGGGGGGGGGGGGGCGCGGAGCTGGAGCCACCCGGTCCCCTGTGCTCGCCCCGGGAGAAGGGCCTCCCGGAGCCTCTCCGCCCAGGATGGCCGCCGCGCCCCTCTCGAGCCTGGAAGGCGCCCCTGCCTGCGCGGGCCTCTTGGCCCGGTGGGACGAGGGGCCGATGATGGAGGGCACACCATGATACCAATACACACACACACACACAAGCTTGGGATATGTCGCCTAAAAATCTATTGATGCCTTCTTGAGAGGGGGGGGGGATCGGCCTGCTCGTCGGTCCGCCGGTCGGCGGGGGGTGGGGGATGCGCGGAAGCAGAGGGGAGTTTTCGTATGCTAGGGGTTTTTTTTTTTGGGTCTCTGCGGGGTCCCGTCGCGGGCGGCGCTTGGGCGACCCGTGCGCGCGTTTGAGGGAGATGTTGTGTTTGCTTTTTTTTTCGTTCGGTCGCGCGCAGAGCGGCAAAGACCGGCGGCGGGCGGGGCGCACGGCCGAGGGGAGAGACAGGGAGAGAAGAGGCGCGCGGGGTGGCTCCGCCGGCGAGGGGGCTCTGGTGAGCGCCGGCTCTCAGGGGGGGGCGGGGCGGCGTCGCGCGCGCATGCGCTGGCACACAAACACACAGACACACACATACGCGCCCGTACAAGCCTCCAGAAAGGAAGATATGTGGCGGTCGAGAACGGGCTCCGCATGTGTGTGCGTGTGCATCATATGCGTGCGCGCGCGCGCGCGCACTATCGTCTCCCGGCACGCGGGGGCATGGGGGCCGCGCAGGCAGCCATGTCGTCGCGTGTGCCCTCCCCCCCCCCCCCCCCCCGGGGGGGGGGGGGGGGGGGGGGGGGGTCCCGGGTCAAGGCGGCGGGTAGATGGGAAAATGGGGGTATCGGGGTGGGCCGCTCGTGCCCCCCGGGGTTCCCGCCGGACGGTGTGCGTGGTGCCCCCTCCGGCCCCCAGCGGGTCCGGTGGAGCACATGGGCGGCCCCGGGTGCGAGCGCGCCAGCCTGGGAGGTGCGGTTGGGCTGCGCGAGCGCGGCCCAGCCTCGCAGGCTCCTCGCTGCGAAAGCACACCACGCCGGCCAGGGCGCCCTTTCACCCTCGGCCGGCCGGGTGGCCCGGGGTGGCCCGGGGAGGCCCGGGGAGGCCCGGGGAGGCCTTAGAAGCACTTGCCGTTGACCAGGGTGGTGCCGGGCGAGCACTCCTGGCAGTAGGTCGAGGGGAAGGGCTGGCCATGGTGGAGCTTGGTCTCCTGGACGACGCAAATGCGGCAGTGCTGCTCGCACTGGTAGCAGACGTCCTGGGCCCGGGCGGCCGGGAGCTTGGTGCAGTGGGTGCCGCAGCTGCCCTTCTGGCCGGAGGCGTCGAGCTGGAGCTTCATGCCGAAGGCGCAGTGGACACAGTCGCCGGCGGTGGGGCCGACGCAGTTGCCGCAGGAGGCATGGCAGGCCTGGCAGACGCCGGTGGCGGTGCGGAACTGCCCGGGCGGGCAGTTGACCAGGCACTGGTTGATGTCGGTGTGCAGGTGCAGGTAGTGGTCGCAGCCGGTGCACAGGTTGTAGTGATGCGGGCAGCTGACGCAGCCGGGGATGTTGCAGGGCAGGACCAGCCCCGGGTGCGGGGTGTACCGGGTGCCATCCTGGTGGACGCAGCGGCGCACGCCGCGCTCCTGCAGGACCACCAGCGGGCCCTTGCAGGTGGTGCAATAGTCCGGGCGCTTGGAGCAGGTGCCGCAGTTGGTGCTGCAGGGCTTGCAAAGCTTGGCCGTCTCATCGAAGTAGGTGCCGGCCGCGCAGTTGGGCCGGCAGGCGCCATTGCTGCTCAGGGTGTGGCCGGGCATGCACCGGTTGCAGGTGGAGATGGAGGCCGAGCAGTCGGCGCAGTTTTCGGCGCAGCTGGCACACGCGCCATACATCAGCCGGTAGCCGGCCGGGCAGGACTCATAGCAGATGCCATCCAGCAGGCCGCCATGGGCCGACAGGCATTGGAGGCAGATTTCCGGCTGCTGGCGCATGCACCGGCCGCAGTTGGCGGCGCAGGGCTGGCACGTGCCGTCCAGCATCTCGGTGAAGCCGACCGGGCAGTGGTCGGCGCAGGTGCCATCCGGCTGGACAAACATGCCGGGCACGCACTGGGTGCAGGCGCCGAGGTTGCTGGAGTCGCAGTGCAGGCAGTTGGGCTGCTGGCAGCGCATGCAGGTGTCGCCGGACTTGGTGTAACCACTGGGGCAGGCGGCGGTGCACATGCCGACGGCCAGGGTGCGCGAGCCGATGGTCACCTCGTTGAAGGGCATGAGGATGGTGCTGGCCGGGCAGGCGGTGCAGTCGGTCTTCCGGGGCCCGGTGCAGGCGCCATTGGCGCACTCGGCGTGGCAGCTGAAGCAGGTCCCATGGTTGTCGCAGTTGAGCGGCGGCAGGTCCTGCACCTCGTCGGCCACATGGCCGGGGTGCATGTAGTCGGCCAGGAGCCAGGCATCGCAGCGGAAGCCCTCCGGCATGTCCTCATTGCGGAAGCAGTGGGTGCCGCATTGGGTCTCGCCGACCGGGCAGTGGATGTTGCAGGTCCGGTGGTGGCTGAGGGTCCGGCCGCCGGTGCAGCTGGCGCAGCCGAAGACCGCCTTGCGGCTGACCGGCACGCAGCCATCGAAGAAGGTGCGGCTGGGATCGGCGCACGTCTGGTTGGAGGTCATGAAGGTGGTGCAGTGGTTGCACTTGCCGGGGACCTCGTTGCACTCGTGGCAGTGGGAGATGGAGCACTTGTCCATGACCTGGTTCCGGTGGGCCTGCTTGTTGAGGGGCAGCTCGTGGGACATGGCGCAGACGCCCTCCACCAGGAAGTAGTCGTTCTTGCACTGGGTGCACTGGGGCTGGCCGTTGACCACGCGGGACATGAGGCACCCGCGCAGGGAGGGGATGCAGTGGCCGTTGTGCGAGGTTTCGGCTGTGCGTGTGCGTGTGCGTGTGTGGGGGGGGGAGGCCGGTGTCAGGGGAGGTGTGGGTGGTGGGAGGCCGGTGTCAGGGGAGGTGTGGGTGGTGGGAGGCCGGTGTCAGGGGAGGTGTGGGTGGTGGGAGGCGTGCATGCGTGCGGGGGTGGGAGGCGTGCATGCGTGCGGGGGCGGGAGGCGTGCATGCGTGCGGGGGTGGGAGGCGTGCATGCGTGCAGGGGTGGGAGGCGTGCATGCGTGCGGGGGTGCGTGCGGGGGTGCGTGTGTTCGTACCGAGGCCGTTACACAGGTGGTTCGGGTCGTGGACGGGGGCCTGGGCGGCGGCCGAGGTGACGATCACGCCGAGAAGCATGAGGAGCCCGACCAGCCGCTGGACATTGCGGCGGCCGAGGACACCCTCGAAGAGGTTGCCGACCATGGTGTGGGCGCGGGGCGCGGCGGAGGGGGCAGGCGCGGCGGGCAGGAGCGGCGGAGGCGGCGGCGAAGAGGGGCGGGAGGCTGGCGCAGCGCGGTGAGGAGGGTCTCAGCCGGGCGTGAGAGGCGGGCAACAGGCGAGGGGTCTCGTCAGGGTCGAGAGGAGGTCGGCCGGGGCGAGTGTGCCAAGAAATCCTCCATTGGGCCGGAAGCCGGCCGCTTATATAGCACGCGGCGCCCGGGCTGCCGGGCGAGGCCGGGCGGGCTGCCAGGCGGCGAGGGGGAGGGGGGGGGGGGCACGCCATCCGGCGCCTCCTGCCGGCCAGGCGCCCCGGGCTCTGTCCCCTCGAGCGGGAGCCCGGCCTGGCCTTGGCGTGCTCGGGGCGCGGCGCGATGGCGCCCGCGGCCCGGCGCACGGAGCCCCGGGCCACGCTGGGCCCCGGGGCGTATGCCGCATCGCCCCCGGGGGCTGGGTATTGGTCGCCGGCACTACCAGGCAACGGCATTGTGGGCCACATTGGCCGTGCCATCGCGGTCTGCGGAGGCCTGGGCGTGTGCGTGTGTGTGTGGGGGGGGGGGGGGCGGGGCTCGGGCCGGGGGCTCGCCCACAATCACGGCCCAGACCGACGCACCGACCTGCACTTGGTCGTGCAGCGGGGCCGGGTCATGTTGGCCCCCCGGGCGCGCCGGGCCCGGCCGCCAGATGCTGCCCGGCCGGAGGGGGGGGGGGGGGGCATGCCCCAGTCCTACGTGAGGGGCGCGCCTGCGGGCGTGGCTGCCCCTTTCGCCTGCCGCCCGGCAGGTGCTGCGCCCGCCGAGTCGTGTGCTGGCCAGGCCCGTGAGGGGGCGCGGCCATGGACTCGACGCGCGTGCCGAGAAACCCGGGCGCCGGCCCGCGGCCCGGCCGTCCGGCAAGGGGCTCTTGTGGCACATGCCGAGGGCCGGCGGGCGCAGGGCGCAGGGCGAGAGCGAGGGGACTCGAGCGGGAAGAGGGCCACCGCGCGGCCGGCCGGAGGGGGGGGGGGGGGCCGGGGTCGGGGACACCGGCCGCCATGTGCCAGGCGCTCTCGCAGCCGGAAGCGTTCGCCAAGGCCCCCGCGGAGGGCCGGCCGAGGGAGCGGGGGACACACCCGCCCCCTCGGCGGCCCGGCCGGTCATGACGCTGGGGGCAGGGGGCAGGGGCCGAGGGGTGGGAAGGGGGGGGGGGCGGGGGCGGCCGGTTCATCGGCGGCCGGGGTCGCGCACACGGCCGAGGGGCATATTATCCGGGCACGCGGGCCGGCTTCGCAGCCGGGCGGGGCAGACGCGGGGCGCGTGCACGCGCGGCCCGCTGGGCGCCGGGATGCCCGGGGGCCGGGTAAAACACTGGATGCAGCACATGCGTGCGTGTGTGCGTGTGTGTGTATGTGTGCGCGCGCGCGCGCGTGTGTGTCGAGCCCGAACCGCCACCACACTGGCGTTCGGCGCGCCCGGGGCCGCAAGGACCGCCGGGGTCGACAGGGGTTTCGGCCAGCAGGGCACGGCAGGGGATCGGGGCGACGATCTTGGCGCGGGTGCCGCCGCAAACACTGACGCACCCCCGGGCGGGGGCCTTTTTCGGCTGGGCGCGCGGGCGTCGGGCTTTCTTACGCAACCGGCGAGGCTTCTGCCGCGGGGGGCCGGGGGCCGAGCGGCCAAGGGGGGAAGGAGGTGGCGCGGCTTCGGCGGCACCCTTCGGCCTTTTTCTTGGCTGCCCCCGGGCGTGGGCCTGCGCACTGCGGGCCGCGTCGCTCTCTCTCTCTCTCTCTCTCTGCGTCCCCTGCTTGTGGGTGGAGGGGGGGGGAGGGGCGCCGGGCGCCGCAGGCCGGCTGAGGGGCGTCGGACCGGTGACCGGGCACAGTTGGCAGGTGTGGGCGCGCGCCGGCCTGGCGAGCCAGCGAGAGGGGGCGAGGCGAGGGGCGTGCGTGGTGGCAGCCGCAGCCGCAGCCGCAGCCGCAGCCGCGCCCATGGCGGCGCCTTAATTTGCCCGATCGTCGGGCGGGCAAAGACGGCCGTCCGGGAGGCGAGCCTCTCCGGCGGGGGAGGGCGGGGTTTTTCGCCAGCCGAGTGGGGAGTGGGCCACCTGGCACCGGCGCGCGTCGCCATTCGCCGGCGGCCTGGCGGCCATGCACCTCGCCGGGGGCGGAGGGGGGGGGGGGCCAAGAAGCCCGGCACGCCGCGCTTGGCTGGGCGACATCGACGGTCGGGAGGCGAGGGCGCGCATGCCCGGTGCTTCGGGCGCCGGTGGCCGGAGGCGGGCCCGCAGGCGGGGGTGACCCGGCGCTGGGCCGGGACGCGCGGCGCCTGGGCATCGGCCGGTCGCGCTGCCGGGCTTTCCCTCGGCCCCCGGCAGGCGGGCCCGGCCGGATGCTGTCGGCGGCATGGGCAGCCGGGCATCGCGAAGGCGCCTCGAGGGCCGGGGGTCCGGGTCTGAGAGCGGCCGCCACGCAAGCACCCGGGCGTGGCTCGGCCAGCAGATGGACGCATGACCACATGCACCCGCCAGGGGACCGGCGAAATGCGCGCGCACGGGGCTCCGGACATACACGCACATGCGCGGGTGTGTGCACACGCAGACGCCCCGGCACACGTACCCCCTCGGGCGGCTGTACGTGCGCGCGCCCACGCCGACACACCGGCATATGGGCGCACGCACGCGCCGTAGGCCGGTGTGGCGCGCCCAGGCCCGTTGTGGGCAGGGCGCCCGGCCGGGAGCACCGGAGGCCCGGACACCGCCAGGCAGCCGGCCGGCCGACCGACCGACCGACCGGCCGGCCGGCCGGCCGGCCGGCGCCCGGGGAAGAAGGCCCGGCTGGCGCAACGTGCGCCCCGGCCGGCCGGCTCCAGGGACCGAAAACGTCGTCGGCCAAACGCCACTGAGATTGCTTCGTTGGCATGCCCAGCTGGGAGGGGCCCCGCACGGGGCCTGTGGCGCCGCTGCCAGGGGCCCGCCCAGGACGGTGGCCGCCGCCGGCCGGCACAGCCGGCGGGCCGGACCGGCCCGGGGGCGGCGCAGGCCGGGCCGCCATGCAGCCGGCGGCCAGGCTCAGAGCCCCGAGGCAAATGAGGAGACAACACATGGGGGTGCGCCCAGGGCGGCGCAGGGTCGCCCCTGTAGTGAGGTGTGGCTGGGTGCGCTGGGGCCGCCTGCGCGCCGGGCGGGCCCCGAAGCGGCTCGTACCGAGGCCCGGACAATATTTCGATGGGCCTGGCCGGGCGGGCCGGCCGGGCGGTGGCGCGTACGGCCCCCCCCCCCCCCCCACTGCTCCGGGACTGGGGCCGGGCCCGGCCGGGGAAATTAGCCGGCGCGCGCGCGAGGTAACCCACAAGCGTTGCCCTGCGGCTTTTGGGGACCCGGGCGCCCCGGTCGGGCTGGCGGCGGGGCCGGCATTTAATTTGATCGGCGAGTCCCGCGTCTGGGGGGGGGGGGGCATCGGCCCGTGGCCGGTCGCACGCCCGGGGAGTCGCCCGATCGGCGGCGCGGCGCCGGCCACCTGCGTGGCGCTGGGGAGCCGACCTCGGGCCGACGCTGGGCCTGGCGCGCGCGCGCGCGCGCACACACACGAAGTCATTGCCCCGGCCCCTGGCCCCGGTGGCCCCCGTCGCCGGCGCGGCGCCGGTCCACCGCCCCCCTCTCTCCCCGGGCTCGCCCGGGCCCACGATGGCTCCCCGCTCCCGGGCTGCTGCTCTCCCATCGAGTCGGGGAGGGGGGCGGGGCGGCACGCGCGTGGCCGCCCTCGCGTCTTCCTCGTGCCCCCTGCGCCGGCCCCCTGCCCTCATCCTGAGTCATGTGTGGCCCCTCGTTCCCCCCCCCCCGCTGCCCTCGCTTCCCCCCGCTGCCCTCGGTCGCCGGCCTGCCCCGCGGGCCGGTCCAATTAATGATGCATGGCTCCATGATGCGGCCGCGCATGAGGCTCGCCGCGGGCCCAGCGCGGTGGAGGCCCGACGTTGTCTCCCCGGCCTCCCCCCCCCCCCCCGGGCCTGGTCTCGGCGACGCCTGCCAGCGCCGACGCCATCATCCATTGGCGCGGGATGGGCCCGGCGGAGGAAATTACACGCCCCCCTCCCGTGTGCGCCCTGCCCACGGCCGGGCATGGCGCGCAGCATGTGTGGCCGAGGGCCGTTCGCGACCGAGCGCCCGAGGCCCTTCCCCTGTGGCCGGCGTGCGCGCGGCCACGGCAGCTGCCTGGCAGCCCGGGCGCCCTGCGCTCGTCGGGGGCTCCCCCGGCGCCCTGGCTGGGTGTGTGCTGGGGCTTGTCCCTGCGCCCGAGCGGGCCGCTCCTGCTCCTTGGCACTCGTGCGGCCGTCCCCCGGCGTGCCTTCCGCGGCGCGCGGCGCGCCCCACTCCCCTCCTCTCTCTCCCGCGCGCGCAACATCGCTGCCAGTGGCGACAGGGCACAACCCCCCGTCCGGCCCCCGGGGCCTCGGCTGCCGCCACCACTCAAGCGCGCGCCCCAGGGGGTGGCGGCGCGCGGTCCCGGCACTGTGTGTATGCACGCTTTTCCAAGGCTCTTTGCTTGTTGCTGGGCTGCGCGCATGCGAGCCTCTCACCCCTTCGAGTGGCGCGGCGCTCCCGCCCGCGGGTGGGCCCCCCGCCCCCCAGAGGCCCGACAAAAGCCATGCGGCGAGGGGAGGCAGCGGCGGGGAGCCGGGCAGCGGGTGTATTACATGAGAGCAGGGGAATCTGTCTGCTTGCCTGTGTGTGTATGTGGGAGGCGCGTGCGCGGGGAGGAGGGGAACAAGCACGCGTGCAGGTGCCCACACACACACACCCACACCCACACCACCGGCCACAGATACACACCCACACACAGGCAGGCAGGCACCGACGGGTCGCAAGCCGCCGCGCACGGGACGCATATCCGTCGCGGGGCTGACCGATGGGCGCGAGGGCAGGAGGCGGACGCTTTCCCTCTCGTGCAGGCCGGAGGACGTGTGTGTGTGTGTGCGCGGTGGGGCGCGGCGCGGGCCCGAGGGCTGCCGGGACGCGGCCGGCAGCGCTTGCGGCCACTCCCCGCCCCTCCCCGCGGAGGGGATATGCTGCGAGGGGTGCCACGCCGCCGGAAGAGCGTCCCGGCTGCCAGCCCCTGTCCTTGCCCCCTCGCCCCGGGCCCCCCCCCCTCCTCCAGGGGAACAACTCCTGTGGCCTGGACGGGGGCGGGGAGGGGCACGCAAGAGGCCAAGCAAGGCACCAGGAGGAGAGGCAAAAGAGCGGAGGAGTATGGCCCGTGCGCACACGGCACCCTTTCCCCTCCCCGTTCGGGGTTGCCGCCCTGCCCCCGGGGGCCTCGGCCACACTCAAATGCACGTGCCGTTGTGCAGGGTGTAGCCCATCTTGCAGGAGGTGCACTGCGGGACGGGGAGGCCGTTCTGGCCGAGGTGGGCCGGGTGGCCGCCCGGGCCGGTGACCACGCGGCAGGCGGCGCAATTGGCCGGGCACACCAGGCAGTGGTCGTGCCAGCGAACGGTGCCGATGGTGGCCACCATGGGCGGGCAGCCGACCAGGCACTCGCCCTTGTTGGTGTCGGCCGAGCGGATGAGCAGGACATTGCCATTGGGGCAGGAGGTGCAGTGCGTGGTGAGGGCACTGCCGTCGCAGTTCATGCAGGTGCTGGCACAGCGGACACACTCGCCGGTGGAGTGCTTCTCGAAGTAGCTGGTCGGGCACTTGGCCACGCACTGCTTCTTCGGGGTGAGGTAGAAGCCATCGGCGCACTTGGTGCAGTGCTTGAGGTCCGGGCAGCTGAGGCAGTTGTCCGACCAGCAGGTGTCGCAGGTGGTCGGGGAGTCCGGGTGCGAGCCGGCCGGGCAGGTGACATGGCAGCTGCCATGGTGGCCGTTCTTGAGGAACATGCGGCCGGTGGGGCAGGCGATGCAATTGTCGGCCGAGCGCCAGCAGCCCTTGCAGTTGGGGCTGCACGGCTGGCAGCTGTTGCTCTGGTGGTCGTAGAAGTGGTTGGGGGCCGAGCAAATTTGCATGCACTGGCCATTTTGCAGGACGAAGTCCGGGTCGCACCGGGCACACCATTGGCTGTTGGCGCAGAGGTTGCACCCGAGCGGGCAGGGCCGGCACTGGCGGGTTTGCATGTGCGGGAAGAAGCCATCCGGGCAGGTGGAGACGCAGCGGCCGCGCCAGACATACATGTCCGGCCGGGCGCAGCTCAGGCACAGGTGCGGGTGCCCGGTGACGCAGGTCCCACAGTCGGCGGAGCAGGGCTCACAGCGGCCGCCCTCGGCCACATACGTGTGGCCGATCATCGGGCAGGTCCGGCCGCACGAGCCGTCCGGCATCATGAAGGTGCCCATGTGGCAGCGGGTGCACCGGGCCGGGTTGGCCGGGTCGCACTCCAGGCAGTTGTTCGGGCACTTGATGCACCGGCCGGGGCCGTTGGCCCCGCCGGGGGTCATGCGCACATGCCCGGCCGGGCAGCGCTCCTGGCAGGTCCCGATGGAGTAGCCGCTGGTCTTGGGGGCCATCGGCACGAAGATCTCCTGGTAGGGGACCACCACGTGGTTGTTGTTGGCGCAGGTGACGCAATCGGACTCGCGCGGGCCGGCGCACTTGCCGCAGGAGGGGTGGCAGGCGAAGCACCGGCCGGCCGAGCAGTTCAGGTGCTCGGCCGGGTCCGGCCCGGTGGGGTCCGGCCCCATGCCCGGGTGCGGCGGCGTGAACATGGCCATGGGCCAGTGCGGGCAGCTGAACCCCGGGGGGATGAGCGTGCTCGGCAGGCAGTGCTGCCCGCAGATGGTGTTGCCGTAGGGGCACAGGAGCACACATTGCCGGTCCAGGGTCAGGTAGTAGCCCGGGTCGCAGATGGAGCACTGGCGCTGGACGTGCGGCGAGAACTTCCGGCAGCCCAGCGGGTAGCCGAGCCCCTCGGCGGCGCAGGTCTTCCCCGGCAGCATGTAGGTCGAGCAGTACTCACAGGCGAAGGGGTCCCCGGGGCAGGACCGGCAGCTGGTCGAGGCGCACTGGGACAGGGGGCTGACGCCGAAGATTTGGTAGTGCGGCGGGAGCTCGTGCTCCGAGTGGCAGAGCCCCATGTGGAAGTAGTGGTCGTCGCGGCACTGGGTGCAGGTCAGCGACCCGGGGGCCGCCACGCTGGTCAGGCACCCGTGCAGCGGGGGGAAGCAGTGTCCGGAGATGACGGCCTCGCCTGGGGGGGGGGCGGGGG